ATGAAGAGTTAGTTTCTGTGAAGGTAAACCAGCCGCCGTGCTTAAGTAATAAAGTGTCACGCCTTCAATGGGTATGGAAGAGCGGAGGTGTAACCTCGCTATACCTAACCTTTGCGCTAAAAGTAGGTGAGTGGTCAGATTCACGCCCTGGCTGCTTAAACACCGGAGAGCCTCAGTTACCTGTGGGATAGGAGGCACAATACCACCTGAAGGTGGTGTTTTATAAGTTATTTTTAATTTTCCTTGTTATTACATATGTAATAATGTAACTGCATAATGAGGAGCTTCATAACTTGTACTCTTCTCGAAGTATAACTAAAATGATAAAGTCAAGAGGATGAGGTGGGCAGGGTATGTAGCACGAATGGGGGAGAAAAGGAATGCATATAGGATATTGGTGGGAAATTCAGAAGGAAAGAGACCTCAGGGAAACCAAGGCGTAGGTGGGTAGACAATATTAAAATGGATCTTAGAGTAATAGAATGGGATGGTATGGATTGGATTGATCTGGCTCAGGATAGGGACCAGCGGAGGGCTCTTGTGAACACAGTAATGAACCTACGGATTCCATAAAATGCTGGGGAATTTTTGAGTAGCTGCAGATTTGGCTTCTCAAGAAGTGCTCAGCTCCATGTGTAAGTAAGTAATTACGTATGTCTTTTCTTGCTTTTTGGTGCGGCTGGAAGTACAAATCAATACACGTCACAGACAATTAAAAATATCTGCTGGTAATTCTAGTGAATCAGCCGGTCTAAGGCATGCACTGTCTTCGCTCTCTTGGAAACCGGGATCGTGGGCTCGAATCCCACTCAGGGCATGGATGTTTAGTTTGTGTGTGTGCGTTTTTCTGTGTTTGTGTACAGGTAGAGGCGTTGCAAAGAGCTGATCACCCTCCCAAGGTGTCCTACCGAATGTGTAAGATCTAGAAAAACCGAAGTCAACGGAGAGTTCATGGAGGTAGGCCTAAGCCCACTGGGGCTGTAGTGCCAAGGAAAAAGAAAAAAAAATTCTAGTGAATCATGTTTTTGAAATGCTTACTTACAGGTCCCATTTGACAGCCGGGTTCGGGCACGTTTAACTCTCTTTTCTTACGTTTCAAACGTTAGGATACATGATAGCGACTAGGACACGAACTGGCCGACCGAGGAATCGGGGTTCGATTTTCGGCAGGAACAAGAGTTATTATTTTTCGTCCACAGTGCGCAGACAGGTTGTGAGGTTCGCCCAGCATCTTATCCATTATATATAAGAGTTGCTTCCCTTGGAATAAAGCGGCCTGGGCGTGAAGCCTACGAGTTACCTCTGTCTAGTCCCGAGGTTAATAATGTATGAAGCCTCTACCTCTGCTCCTTGTGCGTCTCCGTGGCTTGGTGCTTAACTAAACGCAGGAGCAACTTTGTCTTCTGCCTTTATCGCATGTCATAACTCCTTTTGGGACATATTTATTCCGTGAAGTTTCGTAAATATTTTATTTGTTGCGTAGTTATTTTGGAACCGGTTTGGCGTAGTCGGTGTAGCGACTGGCTATGGGCTGGACCACTCAGTGTTCGGAGTTCGAGTCCCGGTAGGTTCCAGACCGTCCACACCGGCCCTGGGGTCCGCCTTACCTCCTATCCAATGTGTACCGGGGGGCCCTTTCTCAGGGAGTAAAGCGGTCGGAGCGTGAAACTGATCGCTCACCTCCAGCTGGTGTCGAGGCCAAGAAAATATGGATCTATACATCCACTCCCCATACGTCTTCATAGCGTAGTGCTTAGTTCGTTTAGAACTGGAACAGCTTTGCCTTTTGGAAGTTATTTTATGGCAACATTGACTTGAGGGAAGAGAATGAGTTTGAATTTTGCAATGCTGCATCTTTCTAATTTTCCATTAATTTCTTGCGGCCTGTCAATTGTAGTTCAGTGCGTCAACAACGAATCCGTCTCTACACGCTTGTATTACTACATACAAGTCAGTAGCTTCTACCCCCCCCCGTTCTATTTGTAATTAAAGTTAAACGGCATATTCTTGTGTTAGAAAACTTCATCGCCCGGACATAAATTCTTTTTCTGTGACCATTTACTAGGCAACGACTCGATAAACACATTCCCGCAGAAAGAAACGCGCGCAACAATAGACGTCCATTGCTAAGTAACGGATCAGTAAACACTTCCCCTTAACGACAGATGCTGTGTTTTCTGCGGGGTCCGTGCGAAGTGGTTATAAAGAAATGTTAAGCATTCGAGTAGAATCGGAGCAGTGAAAGATATAGTCGATTTCGTGACGGCAGTCTTCCGGGATATGAGCCTAGGAATTTGAGTTGGCAGTTGCATAATGGCGAGAAAGGAATTAAACTGAAAAGAAGACTTCATATGATATTTGAAGTTACAGTGATACTTTTATAAATCCGTTGCCAGGATACGACTAGTGAAGACTGAGAACCCTAGTGCGTGTGTAACGGTGAACTGTAAAGTGTGTAGATCAGCGACAGCTCTGTGGTGCCAGTGGTCCCGAGTTGTGAATATATAAGACGCAATAAATCCAATCATCAAATCCAAAATCCGTCTATAGTCACTAATACATGTGATCATATTAACCAGTTGCAATATTAAGTAGTCGGGCTGTAAGTGTGGAAATAATTCAACGCGAGTGAGTGCCAAGTTCAAATGATTCAAACCACTTTTACATCTCGGTTTTATTTTTCAATCTGAGGGTCTCGTTTATTAAAATTGCACACTTTACGTTCTAGCAGAAGTCATTCACACGTATAGATTTCGGCTGCCAAGAATCTAGTATTGCCCAACTGGTAGTGTGTGTTCTGATTTTAAATATCTTATGGGCCCATGTGTAGAATTCAAAGTGCCTTCAAACACATGTCGTTCTATTCTCACCTCATGACCATGTTCTTATACGTAGAAATTCTATTCAAAGCCATCAATAAAGTTATCTAGAATTTAACTTATTTTACGAGGGAGAGTCAGTAAATAGGTCACAAATGGATATAAAACGTAAAACATATGATATTCGAGTCTGGGAAAAAAAATTATTTCCCGACATATCCTCCACAACATTGATACACCTGTCTCAGCTCTTTACCATTGCGTTGAAACCCACAGCATAGAAGTCCTTGATTGTTGCCTCAGCCGCTTCCTCCACCTGGTCGGGTATCATCTGCGACTTTCGAAGGTCCTTTAGAAAATAAACACTTCTACCACAAACAGGAAACATTTCTTTATGAATATACTTTGCAGTGAGTCCTTTTTCTCTACAAAAGACGCACAATAGAATGCTGCTTTTCGGTAGTATACTTCAAGCACGGTCGCCATTTTGACTTCTGAAACCAGCCTCTGAACATGCGCATGCGCGTCTGCAGCCTAGATTGTCATGAAGCTGGACCGTGCTGCTGCTACCTAGTGATGCAAATAGAAAACCTATTACATCCATTACAGCTGTTTTTACTTCCATTTGTCAACTATACAGGGTGTCCCAGGAGGAATGGACCAAACTTCGGGAGGGTGTTCCTTATGTTAAAGTATGCCGATATAACCCAAAACACCTATGTCCAAAGTTGAACGGTTACGGAGATAATGGCCAGAGAAGTGTCAAACTTTGACCGGCGTTGCACACTTGTTGATTATAAAATACATATTAAAACTGGCAGGAATATGT